GGCAGGGCTGGGGTCCCACCGGCCCCGCCTTTGCAGGGATGCAGCGGCGGCGCAGGCGGGTGCTGGACACGTCGGTGGCCTACGTGCGGGGAGAGGAGAACCTGGCGGGCTGGCGGCCCCGCAGTGACAGCCTCATCCTGGACCACCAGTGGGAGCTGGAGAAGCTGAGCCTTCTGCAGGAGGTGAGCCGGGGGCCCCGGGCGGGGGGGGGTGTCCTTGGCCACCCCGGAAGGACCGCGCGACACTCGCTGCCCGTCTCGGGGCTTCGCGGCACTTGATGACTACGAGGACCGACGTAGAGCAGGTGTGCTCTCAGCTCTCCCCAGAGGACCACTGGTGTGCAGACGGGGACGGGCGAGAATGGGCGGGCAAGGCCCTCTGGTCGCTTTGGTCAGAAGCCAGTGTCCAGCGGCCGGATGCTGAGCAGCCAGCCCAAACCTGTGCCCACCCGCTGGGCCCTCCCCAAGGCCGGAGCTGCAGAGCCCAGGGCTCTCCCCTCGGCAGCCGCTGTCCGCCTGCTCCCGGCCGGCACGCGTGTTGGGGCGTGAGGCCAGGACCCACAGATGGGGGGGCAGCGTGTTGGCTGCAGGACCCTGTAGGGGCTGAGCCCACCAGCGCACGGCTCCATTTCGCACGGTAGCGGGGGGGACAGGCGGGCTCGCCCAGGTGCTGGCGGGGACGCCGAGGGCAGGAGGCGAGGTGGCCCTGTGGCTCTCGTGCGCAGGTCGAGAAGACCAGGCACTACCTGCTGCTGCGCGAGAAGCTGGAGACCACCCAGCGGCCGGGCCCCGAAGCGCCGTCCCCGACCTCCAGCGAGGACACCGAGTCCCGCAGCTCATCCAGCGCCTCTTCCCCGCTCTCTGCCGAGGGCCAGGCGTCACCCCTGGAGGTTCCCAGCGAGAGGCAGCGGGAGCTGGCCGTGAAGGTGGGCAGGCGGGCGTGTGGACGGCAGAGCCGTGACCCGGCCCCAGCAGTGCCCCGTGACTTGGCTCCTGTCAGGGCCGGGAGCTGGGGGGATGGGGGTCCCTAGAGTCCCCTGCCCGCACGGGAATCTCAAGGCCTTTTGCAGCCCGCTCACTGAGCCATGGCCTGCCCTCCTGAATACCTGCCGTGATGGGAAGCTCACCGCCCCCATCCAGAGATGGCCCTTGTAGCTGCCGAGAGCCTGGGCTGCCCTGGGAGGCCTCCCGGCTGGCCCCATCTTCCTGACCTGCTGGTCCCTCCGGGGTGGCTGCTGACCGGACCTTTGCTCCCCCCTCAGTGCTTACGCCTCCTCACGCACACGTTCAACAGAGAGTACACGCACAGCCACGTCTGCGTCAGCGCCAGCGCCAGCGAGAGCAAGGTGGGCACTGCATCAGGCTCAGAGCCCTCACCCCGGCCCTGCAACCTGCGTCCCTGTCCCTCCCAGGACGGACCTCATGCATGGCCCTCGGGCTGCGCGTCCTGCAGCCTGGGCTCAGCCACACCCTCCCTGACCCCACCCAGTGTGCCTTCCTCTCCCTTGTGAGGCAGCGAGAGAGAGCCGGGGAGGGCTGGGCTGGGAGGGGCTCAGGAGGCTAGGAAGAGGGGGCCTGCAGTTGGGGTGGGGGTGCCCAAAATGAGTTAAAATGTGAGCGAAGAAATCAGCCACTGCAGGGGTGTCCCCACTCACGGGGGCCCAGAGACTGTCCCCAGAAAAAGGCTCTCTGTCCTCCGCAGCTCTCCGAGATGTCTGTCACCCTGCTTCAGGACCCGTCCATGTCCCCTCTGGGGGCAGCCACGCTCACCCCCTCCTCTACCTGCCCCTCTCTGGTCGAAGGGCGGTACGGGGCAGCTGACCTGAGGTGAGTGCGCTCCAGGCTCTTGAAGACGCTTCCAGCACCACAGCTGACCAACGACAACGGCCGTCACTGGGGCATGGAGCGGGGGGGGGGGGGAGCACGAGTGGCTGAGCGACCTGGGGGACCTGGGGCGGTTGCACACACCTAGGGTGGGGTCTGTGGGCCCTGCACCCACCCGCAGACCCCCTCCGAGTGTGGTGTCTTACCTTTCTGCCTGTTTTCTGCTGAAGCATAAGTTTAAAATGCAGCCATGAATAAAACCAGGAACAGGTCAAAACAGCACAAAACAAGAAACCCTTTTCACAGGGCAGCACTCATACTCAGTGGGAAAAAAGGTGACAGACAGAACTTAGAGAACCACTAAGCTCACTGTTGTAAACAGGACCACATGACGCCTCTAGGCAGCGTTTGGAAGGGACGTCCCCACATGCTGCTAACACCGCTTCTCTGGTCTGCCAGATTTAAAAATCTCTCAGCATTTCCAAGTTTCCTTCTTAAAGCAAAAGAAATAAAATGACACCGAGCCCTGGGGCCCCCACCTCGAGACAGGCCTGCTCGGCCACCAGGTCCAGTCACGCGAGCCAGTGGGTGCCTGTGCCAGCGGCTCCCTCTGTACAGATGGTCCCTGAGAACGTTGTGTCACCTTCAGCTCGATTTTGGAGATGAACAGTTGCTGGAACCACTCCTGTGGGGTGGCGGGGAAGGGGCAGAAAGTGCCGCGGGAGAAGGGCGCCGACTCCCGCACAGCCGGGACCCTCCCCGCTGTGTTCAGCACAGTCCTGGGCTCAGGCGGCGGCCTCAGAGCTCTGCTGTGGGCACAGTGGGCAGACCACTAAAGGTGCCCGCAGCGGCTCTGAGGGCGGGACTAGCCGCCGGGGACCCTGGTGGAGATGGTTCTGGGCCCAGCGAGGGGCCTCCTGGCAGGAGTGTAGGGACTTCGCTTTGCTTTTCCCAGGACCCACCAGCCCAGCTGCCGGCTGGCCAGCCCAGAGCCCGAGCCCATGCCAGAGGCAGATTCCAAGAAGGCCACGTCCCCTGCTCAGGTGACAGAGGCGGATAAGGAGCCCCAACGCCTGCTGGTTCCCGACATTCAGGAAATCCGCGTCAGGTGTGTGGGGACGCTGCCCCAGATTGGCTCTTCTGAAGTACCGTCCAGCCAGCTTTGTCCCCACGAGGACAGGCAGGCCGCCCCTGGCCCAGGGCTGGGAGGGAGCAGGCAGCTCTGCAGAAATACGGCTGTAACGTGTCTGCAAGCTACCAGTTTGGCCACTCTGTAGAACACCCAGTTTGGCCTTTCGGCCCTGGGAATGCCACAGCTGATGGTCATGGGACACGGTGTGACAGATCAGGCAGCTTCAGCTTTTCTAAAGTGTTTCCATTTTACAGATGGACAAACTGAGGCTGGGCTGGTGGTTCTGGTCTCCGGCCTCCTGGGTTGGGGCTGTGCCAGGTTTTTGGCCCAGGCGGGTCCTCGTGAAGGCCCCTTTCTGGCCTGCTCGGTGGTGGACGGTGGGCCCCCGAGGGGCCCCCCACTCTCAGGATGGCACAAGCCAGCGGATGCCCTGCCCCCACAGCCCCATCGTCTCCAAGAAGGGGTACCTGCACTTCCTGGAGCCGCACACGGCCGGCTGGGCCAGGCGCTTCGTGGTGGTGCGGCGGCCCTACGCATACCTGTACAACAGCGACAGGGACGCCGTGGAGAGGTTTGTGCTCAACCTGTCCACCGCGCAGGTGGAGTACAGCGAGGACCAGCAGGCCATGCTTAAGGTACAGCCACGGCGGCGAGACGGGCGGGTGCCCAGCGGGCCGGGAGGGCAGGGGCCCGGCCTTGTCCCCCCTGCAGCCCCTGCGCCTGCTCACCGCTGGTCTGAGGCCACCCAGTCCTGTCTCTCGTGGGTGGGACATTGGGGGCAGCCTCCCTGTCCCTCTGCCTCTAGTGTCCAGGGTCTATGCTCACCATAGGGCTCATAGTCCCGGTGACGACCGGCATTGATGGGTGGGACGAGTAGCCCACTCCCGTTCGATGGCCAATGACCCAGTCCCCTCCTGCGGGTGCTGTGGTGGTCGGGACCAGGTCCCCGAGGGGCAGCAGTGCAGTGGTCCCAGGAGTCCAGCCCCTGCCCCCCCCCGGCGTGCCCCTCTCCTCTGAGGGAACGGGGGCCCTGGGCGCGTACCAGGAGCCCTGAGTCCTTCCTGCTGGCGACTGGCATGCACTAGATATGGTTTTACTCCCTGGGGTGGGGGGTGGGCTGGGACCTCAACCTGCCACCTATGCCTGCCACGCCGAGGACACACCTGGACCACAGCCGAGCCGGGGTCCCAGGGGGAGGAACCTTGGCCCGTAAGGGGCGGGTGCAGCCTGTGGGGACACAGAGCAGTGGCAAGGCGGCCCCAGGGCATGAGGAGACAGGTGTCCTGGCGGCATAGCCTTCTGGAAGGAAGTACGGGCTGTGTGGGTGAGGACGGGCCACGCACACTGCAGTGTTCACACAGGCTTTTCAGCTGTGCCCCCTCCTGTGGGGCACCCTTCCCGCCCGCTCATCACTGAGACTTCCCTGGCGGGGCCCCTGCCCTGCCCAGGGCCTGGGCCCCCGTGGGGCTGTGACCCCGAGTGCTGGCCTCCTCACAGCATGTTTTTTTGCAGACACCCAACACATTCGCTGTATGCACAGAGCACCGTGGGATCCTGCTTCAGGCCACCAGTGACAAGGACATGCATGACTGGCTGTACGCCTTCAACCCCCTCCTGGCCGGGACCATACGGTAGGGCCACTCGGGACCTGCACGAGTGTTCGCATCTCCACGGGGGAGAACGGAGGGCGTGGGTCTGGGCGGCGTTCTTGAGAACGCCAGTGCTCGTTTCACGGCCGGGTCTGAAATCCTGACATTTTCGAACTTGACTTAGTGCCAGGGGTGGGCCTTTCTGCGTAAGGAATGGCCAGGCCCCGCCCACGTCGGTGACTGACAGGAGGGTGGGCTGTTCCTACCAAGCTCCAGTGACAGGAAGCAGAGGTCCAGTCTCTGGGCGGTGATAACGGAACCACAGGGGCCAGGCTGCGTGGCTGCCCCTTTAGGCCCAGTGGCCTGCTGCCACCCTGACCGCAGCTTCTCCCCGACCCCCCCACAGGTCCAAGCTCTCCAGGAGGAGGTCTGCCCAGATGAGGGTCTGAGCCAGAAGACGCCCCACCCCTGGGCACAGCCAGCAGGCCAGGCGCTGCTCCCCAGCCCTCTCACCATCCATCGTGTCATCACCGCCCAGCCCCCCCACCAGGCCGCCAAGTCCCCTCCTCCTGGGGACGCCCGAACTAGGCCCAGTGAGCTCCCCCTCTGGCCGGGGACCTGCACCACATGACCTGTTGTGCTTCCAGCAGAGGCCCGTTTGCTGTCGGTTCTTCTCAGATGTGTCCTGGGGGGCGGCGCTGGGCGGCGCTGGAGAGGCCAGCCGGCACAGAGTCACAGGGTGTCGCGCCGTTCTAATATTTTTTTAAGCATAGACAGACTTACAATTAATATACGGTAGTTAGCGACAAGAAACAGTCCACTCAGACATTAACTATGAACCTGTGTTCTATTTATAAGTATTTATTTCTAATGCCCTCACGTAGGACTGTAGGATGCAGATGGACCCCCCCCCCGCTTGTCCCCACACGCATCTCCAAGCCTATTAGGGACAGCCAGGCTGAGGCAGCCGCCTTGGAAGACGACGGTGAGCAGGTGTCTGGACAGCGGGCACCACGGGGCGCCAGGCCAGGCCCGAGGCCTCAACAGCTGCCTGTGTGCGTGTGCCGGGGGATCTGCCCGGAGCCCGAGCACCATGGAAGGGGGTACACATGTTGCTTCTAGCCGGGGCTGTCGTCCCCATCTCACCTACACATCAGCTACCTGGGATGCGAGTCTCAGGCATGGGCAGCTCCCTGCAAGAGGAGAGAGACGGTGGGATGTGGGTGGCTGACCTGCCAGGGACGGTGGAGAAGGGTCAGGACCCCACCAGTCGTGTCATGTACCCAGGCCAGCGGGGTGCAGGTGGCTGGGGTTAGGTTGTCCAAAGTGACAGTCTAGGCAGCGACGGGCTCATGGTACAGCCTCTCCAGCTGCTGTGAGAACCGAGTTAGTTCAAGAAAGCTCCTGGTTAGAAAGCCCGTGACTCCCCCTCTGTGTCCCAAGAGAAGAGAATTTCTGTGAGCGCCGGTGAGAAGGTTCCATGGGCCAGACGAGCCCGGTGCTGGGGTCGTCTGCCATCCAGGGCCCCCCGTCAGCACCTGAGGTACTGCTGCATCTTGGTCTGGCCTCGGTACAATATCCATTCTGTCCCCTTTCACACCCCATGCCTGAGGGTCACCCGGTACAGGCTAGGAGTCAGCCCAGGCTGAGTCTGGCCGGGCGTCATGCTCAGGCCATAACACCCATCAGAGAACCACGGGGCGGGGGCTCTTCTGTGACCTGTTCCCACACCCAAAGAAAGGCACATTTGGCTTATTTTGTGCTCAAAGAAAAATAGCAACCAAACTGCACCACTGTGCCCACCATGGCCCATCAAGTGCGGGTCCCGCTGTGGGTCTGGACGTGCCCAGCCCCAGGCTCACGCCAGCCTTGCTCAGCCCACAGCATTCTCTGACACCTTCCACCTCCCTCGCCAGCCCCTGCCGGGCGCTGCCTCCTGACGCCTGACCTTTCCGTTTTGTTCGGATGACCCCGGTACCCCCCAAAGTCAGTGGTTCTGAGACTCCCCGTGATGCACGCTGTTCCCAGGTGGCATTGATATGACACGTGGGCATTCTCACGATTTGTGCACTGGGGTGGTGTGGCGTCAGCTGCCATCCAAGTGAGAAGGTTGTTCAGGCCCTTGAAGCTTCGCCTCAGATGAGGGGTGCGGGAGGGTGGGCTGGGGCCCCTCTGGCAGCAGTGTCCACCTACCTGCCGGCCAGCACCTTTCTGTACCTGGCCTCAGGCACAGCGTGTGGTGGCCGCCTCTCCCCTGCTGCGCTCCTGCCCGGGGCCTGGACGGCACCGCTGACGAAGCACCTCGGCAGGAATCGGGCCAGGACCATGTCTGTGAAGCACTTGGAGACCCCAGGAGAGGGTCACAATCTGTACTGAACTTAGACATTGTCCAAAAAACGGGGCCTGGGCTCCCCTCCACGGAGGCCGTGGGCTGAGATGCAGAGAAGAGGTGACGGCACAGTCTGGGACAGGACTTAGTGTGGCTTCTATGACAGCCTGAGGACAGGAAGGAGGAGCAGGGATGGGTGAGTCGTTCTAAGATGCGCCTGGCTCCCGAGAGCCTGGCCGCAGCCTGCTCAGGTCAGCCAGCCTGAGGCTGTGGCCTCCCGAGGGTCAGGCCCTCGCACCCAGGGCACAGGTGTCTGAGGCCAGCCAACCTGCAGAGCACCTGAGGCGTGGGGCAGGGCTGAGAGAAGACGCCCACTCGAGGGTTTCTGAAAATCACCCAGATTTAGGAGCTTCCACAGCCATGGAGGCCCCGGGGACGGTGTCATCTTGACAGTGACTAGGAGCCAGGTGTGGGCCACCTGATGGCCCCCTTTCAGGCCTGTTCAGTGGGAGGGCCTGGGTCAGAGTTGCTGGAGAGGAAACCCACTTTGAGTTAGGAAAGCCAGTCTCCATGCCCAAAACTACGCACGTGTCACACTAGTTGAGATAAGTCATTGAACAAACTTGCTTTCTGCACCTGAGACAGGCAAAGCTGACCTGCAGGCCCTGAGGGCCTCACCTTATGGGGTGCAGAGAGGAAGTCAGTCCTGGCCGTGTGCCGCTTCAGTTAACGGGGGAGGGGAGAAAGAGCCAGAAAGCCATCTCTCTCGGATGATCTTTGTTCGAATACTTGATGCGGCTCAGGCTGCAGCTTCATACTATTTAAGGAGCAGCCGCCCTCGGTTGGAGAGGGCTCTCTGTCCCCTCCAGGGGAGAGTGAACGCCCTCCTTGTGGCCCCAGGGAGAGGGGTGCTGGGCTCCAGGCCGACTGGCACCAGGCTCCAGAGTCACCCGGCAGGTGCCCAGGGTGTGTTGAGATGTTCGTGAGTTGCAAGGCCTCCCGCTCTGAGTAATACATTGCTCATAAGATGCCAATGTTTCGTCCACCGACCGCAGGCACACACCCGGGGCGGCTGCGGTGAGGTGGTCTCCCCAACAATCCTGGTGCCCCCTCGGCCCCTCTGGGGCGGGTGTGGCAAAGCATTCAGGGAGGGTCCCTGAATGTCACTGATGTTACAGGTGTGAGTGGGGTTGCCGTGCTGGTCCTGGGCCGGTGCTTCCTGTAGCTAGCTACCTGTCCCTGAGGTCCCCTGTGGCTTGTACATACGTGGTTGTGTGGCACACCCCGGCCCCTGCACCATAACCGCCATCCTGACGTAATGACTCCAGTTCCCTGACGTCCTGAACCCGAGTGTTAGGTCTAGGCTCCTGTACAGTGTGTGTGCACTTCAGGCTCTGTCCATTAAGAAATAAATGTGGTTCCTTATGCAGCACCTGACCTGTGGGCCTCGGCTGTGTGTGATTTGTGTGTTAGGCCTGTGGGTGGGGCTGAACGTGGTTACGGGGTGCAGGTGACAGCACGGCCCAGAGACAGGGCCCACACCCCAGCGGCACTGCGGGGGGAGGAAGGAGACTCGACTGGGAGGAATGAGACGGGGCTTATTGTGTGAGTGCCCACCTGCTCCCTCAGCACCTGTCTGCACCTGTCTGAGTAGCTCAGGTGTCCTCAGCATGCTGGCACTCTACAACCAGCCTCATAGTCGGCAGCCTCAAGTCTTTTTATGCAGTCAGCGTTACCCTGTACAAAACGAGACAAAGACATTCCAAGAAAATAAAACGACAAGCTGATAGGCTTCAGCAACATAGAAACAAATATCCTCAATCATATTTTACCAAATTGAGCCTGATAATACGTAAAAAGGATAACACCTTGTGACAAAGTGAGGCTTATCATGGGAAGGCGTGGTTAGTTCGAAAAACTAATCTATATAATTCATTGTTAGACTAATAAAAAAAAATATCATCCCTATAGATGCACAAAACGCATTTAATAAAATCTGACATCCATTGCTAATCAAACTTTTAAATAGAAAATAGCTTCTTCAACTGATAAAGTGTCTACAAGAAAGCTGCAGCTAACATCATACTTAATGGCAAAAAACAAATGCTTAACACTTAGGACCGGGAACAAGACAAGGATACCCTCTATCATCACCCTGATTCAACGTGGCCCTGGAAGTCCTAGCCAGGCAGCCAAGCAAGATGAATGAAACACACATGGGTTATAATAGAAGAAATAAATCTGTCTCAGAATACAAATGGAACTTATAGAATATAAGGTCAATATATAAACACTAACTTTATTTCTGTATAGTAGGAGTAAACGATTGGAAATTAGAATTTAAAAAACTATCATTTATAATAGCACCAAGAATGTGAGCTACATAGGTATAACTCTACAAAATATATGCAAAATCTGTATGAAAACTTCAAAATACTAATGAGAAAAATGAAAGACCCAAGTAAAATGGAGAGATATATCATGTTCACATACCGGAAGATTCAGTACTGTTAAGATATTATCTCTCCCCAGATTGACGTATAAATTCAATATAATGTCATTCAAAATTCCTTATAAATGTCAACCAGCTGATTCTAAAAGTTATGTGAAGAGTCAAGGAACTAGAATAGCTAAAACAAACTTGATACAGAAGAATAAAGTTAGAAGAATCGCACTATCCAATTTTAAGACTTACTATTACATAAATCTATAGTAATCGAAACAGGAAGAAGATACTCGCAAGTCACATGTCTGACCCAGGACTTGTCACCAAAATACATAAAGAACTCTAAAAACTGAATGAATAGCAATAAAACCACCCAATTTAAAAATGGTTAAAGATACCACTACCCACTTATTAGAATGTCTAAACAAACAAACACTGACAACATCAACTGTTGGTGAGGAGATGGAGCAAATGGAACTCTCCATTGTTTGTGAAAATGCAAATGGTACAGACGCTCTGGAAAACGGTTTGGAAATTTCTTAGAAAGTTAACATACGCTTCCACATGACTCAGTAGTCCCACTGCTGGGCATCTACCCCAGAGAAATGAATACTGTGCACATGGGAAAACCAGTATACATATGTTTAAAGCAACCCTATTCATAATCACCCCCAGTGGAAGCAGCCCACGTCTTTCAACAGGTAAGTGGTTAGACAGACTGGCCCGTCCATCCATGGAAAACTACTCAGCAATAAAAAGGAGTGGACTATTGATGCGTGCAGAAACTTGGATGATCTCCAAGACATGTTGCTGAGGGAAACAGTTAATCCCAAAAGTTACAGTCTGCACGACTCCATTTACATGATATTCTCCAAATGACACAGCTCTGTAGCAATGGAGAAGAGGAGGGTGGTCACCAGGGGTCATAATTGGGGAATATGTTGACATGAGTTTTTTTGTGTGTGATGGAACTGTTTTGTACCCTAATGACAGTGGTGGTGACATAAGTTTATATACACAGAGCTGAACATTGACAGAAAAAAAAGTCAATATCAATTCCTGATAATTTTAAAAACTAAGGTTTTATAAAAAGCAAATCAATGAAGAAAAGGCAGTCTTTAAGAAAAAATGGTGTTGGTGTTGGAACATCTCTATGAGAAAAAAAACAACAGAAACCTTGGCTCATAACCCAAATTCACTTAACTGGATCACAGATCAAATGTGAATAATCCAGTAGCTATCAAACTTCTGGGAGAAAAGCTTTGTGACCTTGAGGTAGACAAAGATTTCATAGATATGAAACAAGCATGATCCATAAAAGAAAAAAAAAAGAAATTGCACCTCATCAAAATGAAAAATGTCTAATATTTGAAAGACACTGTTAAGAAAATAAAAAGACATGACACAAACTGTTAAAACATAAGTGATAAAGGACCTGTATCCAGAATTTTATATATATATATATATATATATATATATATATTTTTTTTAAGGTTTTATTGGGGAATTGGGTGAGGGGAACAGTGTTGGGAAATCGGGGAAGGGGAACAGACAAGTTGCTGTCCTTTTGTTCGGTCTAGTTGTGGAGGACGTTGCTTCACTGGC